TTTCTTTATTGGTTTTGAGTGTTTATCTTAAAACTCAAGTTTCTTGGTTATTTGCTCTTCGTGTAAATCGAATACATTTGCGGAGTCGTTTAAATATGTTGGATTTTAAATATATTGAATTTTAAACTGTCATACAATTTTTTTCATCGATAGTCTGTAATTGGAACTATAACTCTTATTTATTCAAATTGTATTAATATGTAAATACCAAGTGTAACTTATATAATCGTTAAATCTTATCTTATAAAACCAGTGGAACTTCAAAATCGTTAAAATTCATGGCTCCCGCCGCATTGCGCGGGTACACAACTAGTATTTATTTAAAAGCTATTAAATTGATAAAATGATTTTTACATTAGAAAATTGCAAATTTCAAGATAAGAAAATCAAGGGAAATTTTTGGATATCTCTTTTGTTGAACGTTGAAATATGCAAACAAAATATTAGAAATTAAGTATGGTTAATGTGAGATTATTAGTATATAGTCAAACAACAAATAATTAAAATAATAATAAAAATATAAATTAAAATTAAATATTTTGCAAGAATGCAAGAAGTTTCAATATCAAGTATGATTATATTCTTTTAGGTGTGTTTAATGTAACACTCCATCCCATATTTGTATAAAACTCACTTATTCTATTTAACATGAAATACAAATATTACACACCGTTCCTAAATATACACATTGCTACATACAAAAGCAGCTCCAAACTTTTTATTTTCAAATACATGACTTGAATATAACAACTTCACAAATTCATGTATAACTCAGCTTCTATAAAAAAAAATCATAGATGTAAAGCTATAACATATCATTTCACATCTTTCCTTTCCTTTTAACTTCCGGATGTGCCCGACTTGTAATGCATATTTTCAAAAACAAAATGAGGGTTATACCATAAGGTCTAATGAGTATTCTCTTTGTAGCTATTACAAGATGAAAATCACCAAAACAATTTTGGAAATGTAATAGGTTGTATAATAAATCACACACACACACACACACACACACACACATATATATATATATATATAGAGAGAGAGAGAGAAAGAGAGAGAGAGAGAGATCAAACGATAATGATATTTATTTAAAAGAATAAGAGAATAATTCTTGGTCAATTAATATTTCATTAAATAATACGTTAAATAAAACTTTCTTAAAATCATCAAAAAGGCATATACGTCATTTATTACATATATACAGATTATATATGGAAGTTCATTTATTTATATAAACTTTTTTTTAATTAATTTACTTAAGGTATTTATTCATAATTTTTTATTTATAATTTTCATGATTTAAGCATGATTCTTTATTTACTTATTATTTTTTTACAACATTTAAAATAAGTGTGATTTAGTTTTTTATTTAAAATACTCATTTTATTGAAGTAGTTTATTTAAGAAATTTTTTACAATTTTCATCAAAAATCACATGTGATATTCATAATTAGTCGACATTTTTTTTCCGAAAAAGGAATCACTAATTTTTATTAATTTATCATATATTATATTGATCATGGTAGAAAAGAAATGTAAATTATCTACAATATTACATATATTTATGAATTACATTTTGAAGTACATGTGATCTTATATATTTTAAATGTGTTATGCTGCTACACATCACATGCAATTATGTTTTTTTATTATTTTTCTTTTTTAATGTTTAATTTGAATCATTTATTTTTCAAATGTCAAATCATGTATGATTAGAAAATCGCATATAATTAGAAAAAATTTTGAATTTTTTTAAGAAATTGTGAATCACATATGATTTTGACAAAAATTCTAATTTTTTAAATATATATATATATATATATATATA